CATAGTTTTAAATTGTGTTTCTTGCCGAGGAAGAGCGAATGTCTGATGTAAGTGTGCAGCCTGTCTGTGACCAGGCGCTATGCACCCCCTAGAGCGTGCCAGACCCCCACCCCCTTCTCTCGGTGCAGCTGGTGCCAGGGGCAGAGAGGCTGGGGGTGCGTCCCGCCTGTCTTTAAGTGGGTTTCCTGGAGGCAGGATCTCTGCAGCCACTTCCTCCCACAGAGGAGCGAGGCTGAGCCCTTTCCCTGCTGCTTCTGGCTAGCACTTTGGCCGTGAACGTGAGAACACTGTCGAGACCGGTCCGTGAGTTTATAGGCCGCATCCTGCTTCTCCGCTTTCATGTGTGCTTGAAACTTCCTGATAAACAGTGTTTAAAAACTCCATCAGTGGACAAGGGAAGGGATCTAACCTTTGTTCATTACTGACTCTGCAGGGCATCGTCCGAAGCTCTTGTCTCGTGTAGTCCTCACAGATCCTCTGCAGTCCATTCCCATTTTACAAGTGAGGACACTGAGGCTCACAGAGGTTACCTCTCCCACCCATAGCTAGTAACAGGCAGACTCAGGGTTCAATCCCAGGTCCGATAACCATCGGAACTCAGGGGTTTCCACCCTCCCTAGCAGGCTCCTAAAAGCAAAGGTTTGAGCCAGCAGGAGGAATGTGCTTTTAAATTCAATTATATGTTTTGTTGAGGATGAGACAGAAGCTTAGCAGGTGCCTCTGGTCAAAGGGAGATCCCCAGAGGCAGGATCAGTGGACAGGAAGTTTGTGGCTGTCAAGGATCGGGGCTGTTAATCTCTTCAGTTTCCTGGAGAGCTCATGCTCAGGAGGAGGGGCAGACAGGCAGAAAGCAATGCAAACCCTCCTCTTAGAGGTGAATCCTCATTTCTGGGAGGGGAAGCAAATTTCCCTCCAGCTGTGAACCCCAGCTCAGCCACAGCACTGGAAGGGAAGCTTCTAAGGCACGTGAAGACCCTGGCGTGCCCTGCCGTCCCGAGGCGCCCCCTCCCGTCCTCACAGCCCCTCCCTCTCCGTCCCTGCTCTCTGCACACGTTCTCTCCCTTTAGGTCCTAACCCAGCCCAGCTCCTGCCTCACAGTGGAGCTCCCAAAGTGTGGTCCCTGGACCAGCAGCGGGAGCAGCCTCTGGGAACTTCCCAGAAATGCCAACTCTCAGGCCCCTCCCCAGACCGCCTCGATCAGAAGCTTTGCAGGTGGGGCCCATTGGTGGGGGCGTGTGTGCACAGGTGAGGGTGTGAGCACAGGTTTGAGAACCACCAGGAGTCTGGAGCCTTCTCCCGGTTCTCTCCCTGGGACGCATTTCTCCTTGTTGCTGAAGGGCTTCAGGTCTTCAGGTCATGCTTTAATTTGACCTTCCGTCCTCTCTCTCCACCCTATTGGTTTTCTCATGGCACGTATCACAATGGGCGATTTTAGATACAGTGTCTGTTTCTTTACTAGTTCAGCTCTGTCTCCATGCAAGCCCCATGAGGCCAAGGCCATGTCCACTAATTAGCACTGTGTCTGCATTGCCTAAAGGGGTACCCGGCACACAGCATGAACTCAGATTATTTGCCCAATGAAAGAATGAATGAATAGGAAGCTTGAGAGACTAGTGGGGAGGCTTGGTGGAGATGCCTGACTGAAGTCCCTAGTGGGGGACAGAAGGGCTCAGCATGGTGTAGGCCTGGTGGAACAAGCCCCACGTGCATGAGGGACCTGGCTGCAGGTCCTAACCCTGGCGCGTGTTGACCATTGACTCTGGGCAGGCCTCTGCCCCTTCCTGAGCCTCTGTGTTTTTATCAGTGAGTCAGCTCTGACATTTTCTAATTTTAAATGTATTGGGCACTGGCCCTAAATATTCTTTTTATTTTTGTTCTATTTTGATTCTTTGTTCCATATTGGGAAAAGGTGATAAAAAAGTGGGGCTGCGTGGTTTGTCTTTCTGGTGCACGGGGTGGCAGTGATACTGCGTCCACCAGAAACTGTCCCTCGAGGTGGCCAGGGCTCTCCTTGGCTGGTGAGGGGGCTGGGGAGTGATGTGGGAATTGAAGGGGCTGTTGGAGTGTGTGGACAAGCGGGAGAGGGCTGAGGGGTAGGGGAGCTAGCCCCCTCGGGACACCAGGAAGCTTCCCCACCTCTGGCCCCTGCCATTTCCTCCCCTGTCTGGACCAGCCCTGCCTGCTAAGGAAGATCCTGCTGCAGGTCTTTGCCTTGCTGGGGGCAGCCGAGGGGGCTCTCCCAAGAGAGCAAACAAGGTTTCAGAGAAATATTCTGTCACCCACGGCCAGGTGCAGGGACAACTACGGCTGCTTTAAAATACTCCGATCCTGGGGCTGAGCCCGTGGCGCACTCTGGAGAGTGCAGCGCTGGGAGGGCAGTGACGCTCCTGCTGCGGGTTTGGATCCTATATAGGACTGGCCGGTGCACTCACTGGCTGAGCGCAGTGTGGGCAACACCACACCAAGGATTGTGATCCCCTTACCGGTCACGAAAAAGACAAAAAAAACCCCAAAAAACAAAACTCCGATCCTGTCACAAACACCTGGCTCTTTTCCTTCTGGAAGTTTCTCACGTTGCAAAGGCAGATTCTCTGGAAGAGGTCAACGTCGCCAGACTGGTCTCCCTCCCAGGGGGAGGTGCAGCCTGTGTGCCTGACGGGGAGAGAGAACTGAGAAGCCTGGGAGGCTGAGGACCTAACCCCAAGATGTTCTCATGGTGACTCTTCTGTGTCGGAGGCGACACACGTATTTATTTCTGAGACTGCACGTGCTCGTTTTCTCTTTAGCATTGGCCCAGCTTGAGGTCTGTTTTATGAGCTGGCATATAAAGTCGCGACCCAGTGAGGCTTGGAGGCAGCTAATGAATGTTGGAGTCAACCTATCCCCTTTCATTGTTTTTATTCCTCCCATCCTCCTGCATGTTAGAAACATAATGAAATGGAAAAAGAATAGCAAGAGACGACACAAGGTAGTGTCTGTAGATATTCTGTCAAATGTCTCATCGTGGCGTCGTAACACCGCATTCAGCAATTCCACCAGAGAATGCGCTGATCGCCAGGGCACGGGCGCTGTGCAGGGTGGGGTGACGGAAAAGCCGTGTCCCTGTTCTCAAAGAGCTCAAGGTCCAGCTGGGCAGAAAAGGAAATGGATGTGAGAGTTTCTGCCTCAGAAAAGGAACTGAGGGGAGGAGCTGGGGGGCGGTGGGAATTTCAGACCAGGTCAAGGCTGTTCTACACGGGGGAGCCACGGGGCGTGAGCAGGGCTGGCCACAGTTGGGTCACTGGTTTGGAAAGCCCTGGCTGGTGGCGGGGGGAGGGACGGCAGTGGAGAGACTAGAGATGGGAGGACCAGTTGGGAGGCAGTGTCCTCGTCCAGGTAGGTGTCGAGGGCATGAACAAAGAGGTGGCCACGCCAAACGGGAAGAGGTGGGGACGAGACAGTTGGGCAGACCACGGACAGGCAGAGCGGGGCGCAGCAGAAGCCCTGGACACGGGGCCTCAGAGCAGAAGGGAAGGGGCCACTTTTTCTTGGAGCCTTGCCAGAGTTGAGACAGAACTGCAGTGAGAGGGAGTGGTCCCCAAGCTCGCCTCACTCTGAAACAGCAATTGCTGATTCAGGGACGGTCCCCAAACCACCTCAGGCTCAGTACTTTTCTAGAAAGACTCGTGGAAACACTGAAGGCTGTTACACTCATGATTATAATTGATCACAGCAGATTGAAATTGGCCAAGGGCAGGAGCACACGGGGCAGAGTCCAGGAGGGGTCATGGATGGGTGCTGACGCCCCCTGGCCATGCCACGTGACAGCACTCACAGAGTGTCACCAATCCAAGACTTTGGTGTCCAGAATTCTTAGTCAGGCTTGATCACATATTGCCTGCGTGGATGACCTTGAGTCTTTAGTCCTTCCAGAGGTCAGAACTGATACTGTATGGCTCAAAGCCCCATCATAAATCAGTGTCAGCTTGTCCATGGCCAAAGCCACCTGGCAAACAAGACACTCCTTCCAGGCAGGACATGCAGGGTCCCAGAGATCACTTCCCAGGAGCCGAGGTCAAAGGCCTGACCGCTCTCTGGGTGTGGTTCAGTCTTCACTACAGAAGCTCGATGACTGGCACGAGAGAAGAAACAGACGGATGAAGACCCAGAAAGTGCGTGGGTAGAAGGAGAAAGGGTTTAAGCTGAAGTGTGCATCTTCGGCTTTGTTCAGCGCTGACGGCGTCAGGATGCGCATGCACCCTGATGGCCACGGACGCTCACACACACCAGGCATCTGGCTGTTCACTCACCTGGGTTGTCTTTGAGGCATCTGGGGTTGATGTTTCACAGCCTGTTGGATGCTGGGTATAGGGCTCATGCTGGGAGCAGAGAGACAGCCAGAACATTGTGCAAAGAACATGTGGACCGCTGGCCAGTGTAACCTTGACCACTTCCCTGCACCTCAGGCCTCACCTGTGCAATGGTAGCGTGGAACAGCCAACAGGTGTCGTGGGGATTAAATGCAACTCTAAGGGTAAGAATTCTTGCATGTGTAGCACAGAAACCCTTGTGAAGAAGCAAGAACATACTGTGTTAAAATCCAGTGTCTGAAGGCGATTGCTTGCTAGGGTAACTCTCACGTGCTGGTTTACAGTGAAAGGCTGTGATACTTTTGGAAAATGCCTTACAGTGTTGGAGGAATTACTCCTGAAATGACGCGCTCATTGTTTGGTCCTAGGTGAGGCTCCAGGTGGGGCTGTATGCCGTCTACCTTCTGGACTGGCTCACTGTTTTTAAGAAAGAACAGTTCCTCATTCTCCGCCTGGAAGATCATGCTTCCAACGTCAAGTACACCATGCAGAAGGTCTTCCAGTTCCTGAACCTCGGTATGAGAGTTGTGCTTCCGACCGCTGGGGCGGAGCGTGGGTTCCGTGGATGCTGGCTATTTTTGGAGCTCTCTGGGTCAAGTACAGACTTAGTAGAATGGCCAGGGATAGGCTTAAGTGGCAGGCCCAGGGTCTCCCTAAGGGAGGTCAGTTCAGGATGTTTTTATTGAGCACCACCTGCACATGGGTCATTGTGGACAGCATGGTAAGGCGTTCTCTGGGGAACAGGAGGTGGCCTCCCCAGTGGGAGCTTACAGTCTAGTGGAGGGAGAGGTGGGAGACACAGCTGAACTGACCGAGGAACTGGTGGCATGACGTGAGGAAGGTGAGCATCGTCTCCGCAGGTGCGCACCGATGATCTGGGATCCCAGCTGCTGAAGGGACTGTGGGGGGCTTCATGGAAGGAAAGGGTCTGAGGGCTGAGCTTTGAAGGACTGACAGGATGTCAGTGGTGGCTGGAGCAGAGTCCTGCAGAGGACACGAGGCTTGGAGGAGGGAACAGACAACCTGCCCCACTGCAGGTGTTGTTGGGGACCCCTGGAGTCAGAGCCACGTGGCTGGATTTTGGCTGCTTGCCACAGCACCTGTGCCTCAGGGGAAAGGGAACCTGCCCTCAGCCTGGGGACACCTGGCAGCCAAAGTCCTGAGAGGCACTTTGTGGTAGCAGGCCACGCCGCTGGCCATGCTGAAGGATGGCGGAAAGGCTGAAGCAAGAGCAAACCACATTCCTTCCCACAGCACCTGCTGCAGCCCTAATGACCTCGCCTGGGAGCTTTGTTAATTGAATATTTCTTGAAATGTATGTGCCCACCACTGGGACTTGGGACCCTCTCATCATTTGACTTTGTTTCTCCTTTTCCTGGAGAGCTAGTCATATGATGGAGTGTGATTACTTTTTTCCCTTCTAAGGCCAAGGGCCATTTGTCTTTGATCTGGCTGCACATGTATTCTGTCTCACTAATGAGCTTATCTTCCATCCCTAAGGTGGGCAGTAAGGCCAGTTCTGTATCTCCCGTCACCTGGGACTCTGGGACATGCTTTTTCTGTGCATGGATGAAGGATTTTGGCCAGATCCCGAGAGCCCGGGGTAGAGGCCTGGGCAGTGATCTGGTGCGTGAATCCAGTGAGAGGAGTGTGGGCCAGTGGCCAGGGTGTGGAGGTGGCAGCCCCTGCTAGCTTGTTCTGCGGCCTCTCCTCATTGATATCCTTGCTGCAGGTGGAGGCTCAGCCAGTGGGGTCTCTGGGCACAGGTGGTCTCCTCCCCGAGGCCACCTTACAGCAGGACACACAGGGTGAAATGTGCTCAGCCACGGGCCCTTTGCCTCAGCAGCCAAAGTAGAAATGACTGTGGCAGAATATTCCAGCAGCCAGTTAGCAGGAAAATCTAAGCCCATGGACTGTGCCTGGCGGGAGGCACAGTTATCTGAGGACAGGCTGACAGCCGTGGAAAGTAGCCCATTTGGGACAATTGGAAGTGAACCCATCCTCTAAGCTTCAGGTGAACGCTGCAGCAGCGTGAAGTGCCCGTGGGGTTCCCCGAGGGTGGGCTCTGAGCACCGGCCAGAGCAGCTCTGTGCTGCTTCACAGTCCGACTTCCACCGTCCTCCCTCAGCTCCTCCAAAGTGGGCCCAGCCAAAGAATTTTAATCCCCAAACACATTCTTCCTAAAGGAAACTCCCGTCTCAACATGAAGCATAGCTGGGATTTTTGCAAAGTTCTTTTACTTCCTGGCTTGACTCCTGCCTTTTTCCTTTTATTCCAGGGCCCTTGAGTGCGAAGCAAGAGGCCTTGATGACAAAGAGCCCCGCATCCAATGCACGGCGCCCTGAGGACCGGAACCTGGGGCCCATGTGGCCCATCACACAGAAGATTCTGCAGGACTTCTACGGGCCTTTCAACACCAAGCTGGCGCAGGTTCTTGCTGATGAGGCCTTTGCATGGAAGACCACGTGAGGGCTGAGGTCCTGCTACAGGCCCTGGGTCCACTGATTCCAGCATTGCCATGATTTTAAAAATCTCTCTTTGTGGAGGTGCGATGTGCTCCTTGGTGGAGTTGATGGAGAAAACCTCTGGGGACGCAGTTTTCTTTCCCTCTCTGGGCTGTGTGAATTCTATCCCTTCCAGAATTTCCTTTGTGGTCAGGCCAGCCGCTGACCCCTCACTGGGCTCCTCCGTCTGAGGCCACCACGTGCTCCACTTCCACAAGAATTCAATTCTGCTCCAAGAGTGCCCAGAGCTCCAGGGTGATGCAGGCGGGCACTGTTCTGGGTGCAGAGAGGGGCTGCAGGGAGGTCGCTGCCAGCCTCGCTGCCTTCGGGAGAGCCTGAGTCTGGGAGTTGGCAATTCTGGGATCCGATTAGGCACGCCAGAGGTCACGCCACAGGGCTTCTGAGAACTGACATAATTTACATTCAGTTTTGAAACACTCTTCTTCAGATCTCGAAGGTCATTTGGGTGGAGAATCGAGGCTCAGGAATGGAGTCATCTTTCTGTTTTCTTTTTCCCTTTCTCTCCAAAGTCAGCCCATCAGTCTCTTCATATATAAACCCCGTCAACTTCACTGTTTCCGAGAGAATAAAAGAAGTTGGTTATTTTGGCAGCACGTTCATCTTCCCAACCTCCTCCCATTCTGTCCTTGTAGACTTCAGTTATGTTTAACATAGAAAATGAATGTGTTTAAAATAAACCACGTTCTACATGGGACTAGCCCTCGCTCTCTTTTCTGCCTCTTTAGATGTTTTCTCAAGAAATTCAGTTTATAATCAGAAAAGAAACATTTGCTGTTCATGCCAGAAAGTGCAACTGCAAGGAATCGAACACTTCATGGACAGTCTAGCTAACTCAAGCTCTCACCATGTGCACAAGGTCATCAGAGAACTGGAGGATGTGTAAAAGCTCAGTGCTGGCCGGCTGCAGGCACCACCTCTCCGCCTTCCTACCGGAGTGAGTTTATTATCCATTCTCCACTGTGCGTGGTCGAAGATCCTCCCTCGGGTAGGGAACTACAAGATACTTGGGTCTTGATTCAGAAACACAATGACAAACTAAATTTGGGCTGAACATGGTGTGCTGAGATTCAGAACGAGATCGCAAGAAGCTGTGTCCTTAATGGAACCTTTTGGGCCACTTAGCAGCTTGGGCCAGATGGAAGGGCTGAAGGTCTTGCCATTTCTTGAAAGTCATGGGAAAGATTGAAGAGAACACTTGGGCCACTTGGCACACAGCCTCTGGTGGGAACTCGACGGAGCTTTGCACTCGAGTGTTGTCCAGGGAAGTGTCCTGTGAACGAAAGTTCCCAGGTCGAGACACCGTCCACCCAAGTCAGAAAGTGCAAACACCTCCCCGCTGAGTTGTAACTTGCGTGTGTGAGACAGACCAGCTTCGGTGGTCAGAGGTCCATCTGCAGGTGCTCAGGTGTCCGACCCTGGCACTGTTTTTCTTCTGCCATCAGAGATGGATACACAGCCCATTTGAAGGCATGCAGAGGGCTCCTAGCACTGGCAAGGCGGGGCTATTTCTGCTACTGAAGGGGCTGTGTGTCCTAAACACCCACTTTCAGGGACAATCCCCTCTTTATCTCGCAGCCGGCACTTGGAGCAGCAGCCAGTTGGGAAATCTGGCCTGAGCACAAGGATGCTTTAGGGAGATATCACTTCAGTGTGTGTGTGTGTGTATTTATTTGCAATACAGAGTGCGTGTGTGCATGTGTGTGTGTGGGTGCATTTTCTGAGTGGATTCCCTTCAGTTCTGTTGCCGACGAGGCTCCTCTGCTCTGGACATAACCCCTTTTATAGATTAATTTCTCTGCCAGTTAACTTGTCGTTTCCAGCACATGTTTTGCTATTCCACACCAACCATAATTACAAGGGATTTTTCTTATGCACTCCTGTGCATGTGAGTAACATGTGGTATAACTCTGCTTCTTACAGAAGTGTGACTGAAGGTGTTATTTCCAATATTATTTGGTTGATTACACGAATCTTTTTTAACACACGCAGGCCCATCCCGTCAGTGCCAACCAATGCCACGCAGACACGGTTTCTCTCTCGAGGGGCCTTTCTCCGCAGGGCAGCGTGTCACCTCTGCTTCTTCTCATTTGAGGCCCAGCTCTTGCAGGCAGCACAGATGCCATTTTGAGCAGTGGCTTTCTAGCCTGTCATCCCAGACCAAAGCAAAACGGAGCATTTCTCACGACCTGGTATTGAAGTTACTTTGTGTTCTCAAAAGCTGTGTACCAGATTGTATTAAATTGTACTCCCTTAATCGTGTAAGGTATGCTAAGGGAATCACAGTCGAGCTGTACTTTTATTACTATTTAACATGATTAAAGACGGACCATGTGATTGGTACCTGCAGCGTGCACGCTCCCTCTCTCTAGTGTAAGCGCGGCCCCGCGGGTTCTCTCCACGGCGTCCCACGTGTGTGAATGAATTGTGGAGATAGTTTGGAGTCTTACCTACACCAGTTGTGCCCACTGTCGGTGAAGGGGACTTAGGGCATGGTGACTGGTGAGAGATGAGGTGTGATCATGCTAATGTCTAAGCAGAAGAAAACGAGATCAGAGAGGCAAGGATTCAGATGTTACCAGGAACTCCCTGTGCGAAGCCTGTTGTGGGTGGGAGTGGGGTTGGAGGCCCATCCCAGCCCACAGCAGGCCTGGCATTGTCTTCAGACATTTGAATTTGAAGGTTCGGTGACTGCAGTCCCACTTCAGGCCCCTGGCAGCTGTTATTTTGAGCCCCTGGTGTCTCTGGGTGCATGTCACTGTCACTGGATGCTCAGTGTCCCCGGCTGCCATTTGGGGTAGGATGAACCTGAGGCAGGAGACAGTGTATTAGTTGGTGAAGGCTGCACAACAAAACACTGCAGATGGGGTGGTTTAAACAACATTAAAGTATTTTCTCAGTTCTGGAGGCTAGAAGTCCAAGATCATGGTCATCCCTCTGTGCACACACACATGACCCCGGTGCCTCTTCTTACAAGGACACCAGTTAGATTGGATGAGGGCCCACCCTAACGCCCTCATTTTAACATAAACACCTCTTTAAAGACCTTATCTCTGAATACAGTCACATTCTGAGGCACTGGGGTTTGGAGTCCAACATATGAAGTGGAAGGGACACAGTTCAGCCCATAGCAGGGGACTGTCTCAGGCATGAGGCTCTGGGAGAGACTCTCTCCAGTGCTGCCTCCCAGCGTGGTGCCTTGGGGGTGGGAGGCTGGTGGCATCCAGGCCTGGAAATGGGGAGAACCCCATCACTTCATGATGGGGCCAGGAGCAGCTTTGCTCAGCAGAGAACGTGCATGTGCAGAGGAGCGGGGCAGAGGGAGTGTGTGGGGGCGGCGGCCAGGACACAGGACAAGCTGGGGCATGCCTTTGAGGGTTGATAGGAGGACTTCCTCTCTCAGAGCTCTCTAGAACCCTCTCTGCTGTGTGGCCACCCACTCCCCACTCAGAAACTAGCTCTCAGGAAAGATTGTCGTGAAGAATGTGTCCCTTCCCCACGGAATGACCCTCCTTGGGAAGGGAAGCATGGGTGTGCTCAAGTGGAGGGTTTGTGGGGGGCAGGTAGAGAGGTGGTGTGTGGGGGCTGGTATGTTTCTGTTGCTCCAGAAATCTCACCCCATGGGCAGTCACTCTGCCTGTGGGGGAGGCAGAGCTTGTGGTAGGAAAACATCACTTTGATGAATCAGATTTTCCCAGAACTTCACCCAGTGAGGTTCCCTGGGGAGCAACAGAGAGAGATTAGTTCCTGTGGGCCAGAGCTGCATCTGCAGGAGCAGCACTGGCCCTGGGAGCTGTATGAGTTTCCTGTGGCTGCTGGAACAAATTACCCCAAACAGTGGCTTAAAACAACACAAGTTTATTATCTTGCAGTTCTGGAAGCCAGAAGTCTGAAATCGGTCTCGCTGCACTGAGGTCAAGGTGTCAGCAGGCCTGGATCCTTCTGGAGGGCCTAGGGAGGAGTCTGTTTCCCTGCCTTTTCCAGCTTTTGGGGGCCGCCACATTCCTCGGCTCGTGGCCCTTTCCTCCATCTTCTGAGCGTGGCATCTTCAGGTCTCTCTCTGACTTTGTCTCCCTCTGCTTTGTGGTCATATTGCCATCTCTGACCCTCACCCTCCTGCCTCTTGTAAGGACTCTTGTGGTTACACTGGGCCCACCAGGTAGTCCAGGCCACATCCTCATCTCAAGATCACAACTGCAAAGTCCTTTCTGCCCTGTAGGAAATGTGTTTCCAGGTTCTGGGGGTCACCACACAGACATCTTTAGGGGCCATTATTCAGCTGATCACAGGAGGGTGGTCCAGTGAGCTGGCTGGCAAGCAAGGGATGGAGTGGGTGTCCACTGGCCAGTCCCTTATGGCTCTACCCTTGGGGCCCCAGCAGGTCTCAGTGGGCAGGCGGCTGCCCAGCAGAGGACCGAGCTTATGGTCTCGGAGATGCCAAGTCCTCCTGTTCAGGCGGGGCCCTGTGATGGGAATAAGTGGGACAGGCGGGGGCAGGGAGGTGAGGCACCCTTCTCCTGGGTGCAAATCGCAAGCCCTTCTGTGGTGTGTTTCTCCCAAGGAAATCCCCTGGTTTCTTTCATTGAGCCGAGGCCCCTCCAGCCAGTTCAGGGCTGCAGCGGCGCCCCCTTATCTGCAGTTTCACTTCCATGGGTTCAGTCACCTGCGGCCAACCGTGGTCAGAAACAGGTGAGTGGACTACAGTAAGATACTGTGAGAGCGAGAGCGACCACATGAGTGATCATATTCACGTGGCTTTTATTACAGTACGCCGTTACAATTGTTCTATTTCATTATTAGTTATTGCTGCCTTACTGGGCCTAATTTATAAGTTAACTTTACCATAGGTTGTATGCACCGGAAAAAACAGTTTACATAGGGCTCAGTACTATCTGAGGTTTCAGACATCCAGGGGAGTCTTGAAATGTATCCCCTGTGCATAAGAGGGGTACCGTTTTTCCAGCTCTGGGTAGAACTAATTTTTGAGTACTTATAGCTCTTTATTTTTTATTTTTAAAAATTTCTGTCAAGTTACTTTGTCAGAGCCCCATGTCAGCCATATGGGCAGTTTCCAGATTCTGAAGTCTGGCTGTTGTTGAGTTCCTCAGGCTTCAGAGGGAGTAGCTGTGAAAGTCGCAAAAATAGAATGTTGTCTGGTCCCCAAAGGAGCCTCGGGGGCCAGTGACCTCCAAGGCTCCCAGCCTTACGCACTTTGGAAGGCTGACCTGCGACCTCACTTGCATCAGTCCTGCCTGATGGCCCCAGGCTGGACTCACCTGCACAACCTCTGCCCTGTCCTTGCTCCCAAAGCCCTGCTGCCCCGTGCCATCAGCTGTGACTCTGTCCCCAGCACCCCCCAACCCCACCGCCTGCCAGCCCCCTCACTCGTCTCCTTTCTCCTGCTTTGCAAACTTGTTCCTGGTCAGGTGCAGAAGGATGGAGAACTATGGTGGCCCGGGGATCCTTGGGGCTGCATAGGTCACTGTCCCTGGAGAGTCTGTGTGGTCTAAGGACTGAGCACAAAGGCAGAAATGGTGGAATTTCAGGCTATTGTGGCAGGTGGGGAGGAGCAACACCGCCCCCTCGATCAGCACCTGCAAGTGCTGTGTCCTCCTGCTGTGGGGTGCGCTGGACCGGCTCAGGCCTGCACCTGTGTTCTCCATTGTGGCTCCTACAGCAGAGAAAGGAGGAGAATTAGTGCGCTGTGTTCTGGGAGCATCTGCTGAGAGCCCTGTGCGGGCCTGATGCCGCATCTGAACCCAGAGAATATGAAAGGGGCCTGTTCTCCTGCAATGGAGAGCCCTTGCTTGGGCCGGCAGCACAAGGGAGGCTGGATTCCTCGTCAAACACGGAGGCCACTGGGGCTCCTGGGAGCGTTCTGGGTGCACCCTCAGCTCTGAGTACTCTGAGAGGCCCCTTTGAAGTCAGATCCAGGAGCAGGCGGATCTTGGCCAAGGCTGAATCCTGGGCCTTCCTGAGTCTCATGACTTGCCCAAGAATGCGCAATCAAGCCATGTGGTGGGGACTCCATGCTCCACTCCCTGGGGAGCCTCCTTCCTGGCAGAGCAGAGCAAGGCTTGGTCCAGGGAATCAGGTGGGGAATGCTCAGCTTCTCCCCCCACCCCGGCCCACCTCTCCTGAGGAAAGAGCCGTCTCCTTCAACCATTCTCCCACCAAAAGGGACAGTCTGATTTGCACACACCAAACCCTGCCTCCCAAAGGGGCAGTGTGTGGAGGGGGTGAGCTCTGGCTCTGCAGCCAGATGAGCTGGATTGAAGGCCTGGTCCCCAGTGGAGGGCCTGGGACAGCCATTCCATAACTTGGGACACCAGTGGCCCTTTCTGCATCCCAGGTCTGCTGTGCTCATGAGTGGGTGTCAGAGTTAACAAGTATAAATTGAGGATCAGAGAGGGTGCACACCTGACTGAGGTCACACAGCTCAGATCCCCAGGTCAACTCAGATCTTTTTACTTTTTAACTTCAAAGCCAATGCTTTTAACCATGGCACTATGCTGTATCGCCTCCATACCCAGGTTCTCCATCCTCAGCAGCCTGTCTGTGGTTTGAATGTCAGGACTATTTTGCCCTCCTTTCAGCCCCCATTTCAAGTGCCCCTGGGAAAGGGCAGTGGTTTTTTGGGGTCACCTGGACCAGGCATTTCTGCAGACCTACCCATCCCGGGGTCTAAGTGGTGACCAGGGCTTCTAGGGGAAAACAAAGGAAAGTAAATGTGACTTTCTTCTGCCAAAAGCCTCATTGAGCTGAGACTCCTGCTGGCCCAGGTGTTCTCATCCTTGCCTGGCTGGAGTGAGTTGTAGGCCTCCCACCATAGGCAGGCTTCGGGGGCGTGCAGTGCTGAGCTAGCTGCAGCAATGAGTCCCCTAAGACCTGAGTCACATCAGAAGTGGACTTTCCTGCCCCATGAGCTCAGCCCCGCCTAATGACCTCAAAGGCACCAAGGGTACACACCCTAGCTAGAGAATGTACGAAGAGTCAAAATTTAATTTTCTCAGCAGATATTTTCTGAACATCTATTTTGCACAAGGCACTGGGATAGGTATTGGGGTGGAGGTTGAGGGGTTGTTTGCTGGCTCATTCATTGATTCCTTCAGTCCTTCTTCCAATGAGTGTTGGTGGAGCACTGACCCCGTGCCTGGTATTGGAGGTGCCTGGTATTGGAGGTGCCTGGTATTGGAGGTCCCCGGAAGAGCAGACCTGTCCTGCCTATGTGGAGCTGGGGTCTAGTGCAGCAGGCAGATATTGATCAGAAATGGACAACTATTGATCAGAGAATTACCCAAAGCAATGCAGAACTGCGACAGTTATGAGAAGAGGTTCTGGGG